GGCTGTTGATTTTGAACTTCCAGAATGGGATCTATAGCTTTGGGAACAAAGCTATAGATTCATTCATGTGGTGAATGAATAGATTTATTCTATTCAAGCTATAGATTTATTCATGTGGTGCCTCCTCATGGAGGCAACACATGAATAAAAACAGTACTACATGTGATCTGGGAAAAAAAAAAAAGAAAACATACTAGAGGACCACTTTTCTTCCTCACCAGTAAAATCTTTCAGAACATCCATACATAAACAGAAATTAAAGTAAAACATCCACACTGGAGCTGTAAAAATCATGCATGAGAAATAATGGGTCATAAATTGACAGTTAAAACAATTACCTCCCCATTATTAGAATCAATGAATTCATGCTCTCAACACCCTGCAAAAAAGCAAACAATGCATAAAGAAGATCCATAATTGAAAACAGAATTTTGGAGAGGTGGGAGGAATGACCCAGAATTAACTATTATCTTTCTTTTAATTCAGAGCCTATTGCAATAATAATATTCCCCATAAATAAATATTTTATAGTTGAGTTACTTTGCTTGAAATTATTATTTTTAATTTTTTATTTCTGCAGAAACATTAACATGAAAATTTTACAATCAGACCTGGATTTCATTCCAGCTTCTTACAGCACCTACTACAGCCAAGTAGAAGAAACCTGATGCTGATATACAACAGCCCAAACAGCTGGTCTCCCCAAGGAAGTGGATTAGCAGAAGGATCACAGTACACAGCTCACTGCAGAAAAGCTCTCTATATAGCTTTGTACTTTTTGTATTTTGCTAAAATAGCCACCAGAGGAGAGGACAGAAGGATGATGCATAGTATGATGCCAGATGGCAGGGAGTGAGGATGACAAGACTCCATCTACTAATGCTAAAAATGAATACCCTCTGGACAGTGTTAAGGTCCAATACAGGAAGTAGTTTCTGTTCATCAAATCTAATCTGTTTCAAATCAGCCTGTCAGGAATTAATATTACAACTTGCATAGCATTCAGTACAGGACCACTTTTAATTTTTCCACAAAATACTAAAACATACAATCCATGCCTTCAATCAGTTCTTCTCCTTGGAAAGAGTGTTTGCAATTTGACTAGACATTTCACTCAAGAATTTATGCTTAGCACAGACTCATACATCTTGTTTTAACTTCAATATATCAATGAAAACCCAGCCTTTCTGGAGACAGGTCCTTAAATGATCCTAACCCAAGCCATTCTTTTCCAAAGCTCATTGTCTACGAGAGAAACCGATAAACAAGCAGAAAGGAAAACTGATTCTGGTTCAAATAAAAATTCTCCTAATCCCAAACATTTTAACTTCTTGGAGGACATTCTTACATTGTCTTCATGGATCCTGGTCTTCTTTTTTATTGTAAATATACTAAGCTTTCTCATTTTAAGACATTCAAAGTGGATGCAAAACTGGAATTTTAGTCATTCACAAATGCACAGAAAATCTTAGATTCTGCTACTCTACTCTGGTTCCTTCTCATAGAGGTGGGTCAAGGCCAAGATTAAAGAAAACTTGCTCAAATTAAAGTCCTAACTTGACCAACTAGAAGTGGAACTGCTCATTTTGAACTTTAGCAGCACACGGGGGTAATGCACTCCCCTCGCCGCCATCTTCCTTCTCCAAATTGAATTCTTGTTTTTGTTTTTTTTTTTTGGTGCTGGGGTTTGAACCCAGGGCCTTGTGCATGCGAGGCAGGCACTCTACCAACTGAGCTAGATTCCCAGCTCATTTTGAACTTTAAAGGTAAGAAAGGTGGGCATCAAGCCAAACTTTCAATGGCTTCCATCTGGCTTCTTCTGCCTTCCCTACATTCTGATTGGGATCAGAATGAAAAACTACTCTCAGATCCTACATACAAATTCTGTGAAAAGAAAAACCCAGAAATCTCAATAGCTCAACACACACAATAGTGTTCTTTTTTTAAAATATTTTAAATTGTAGATGGACACATTACCTTTATTTCTGTTTATCTAGTTTTTTCATGTGGTGCCGGTGATCGAACCCAGTGCCTCATACATGCGAGGCAAGCACTCTACCACTGAGCCACAACCCCAGCCCATACACAATAGTGTTCTTCAGTCTCAAAGAGGGTTATACCCATCGGTTCTTTACAGTTGCTCTTAGGGAATGATGATCCCATAACAATATGAGAACTCAACGTCTTAATAGTGGCAACGAGCATCAGACAGGACTCACAGCTACAATTTCAACTTAGTTTCCCCCAAGTGCATCCATCCAGCTTTACAGAAAATGATTCTCTCTACAACCTTGCATGGTAAGCCTAATGAATATAACATTTGCCCTGTAATCAAAACTCTTACCAGACAGTTCTATCAAATTTCCCTATATTTGTCCTATATTTGGTGAAACTTTACCTGATATCAGGCAATTCTATAGTGTTATCAGTGATAAACATTTACTATTTAAGATGTTGACCTGTCCACAGCCTTCACTTGAATCTAGCATCATCAAAGCTACAGGTTTTCAACCTAGGGTACACAGCAGAAGTAAGATGCCCAAAATTTAAGTGGCCTGTTATAATTCAGTTCTTTCTCAAATATAGCAGCGAGCTTCATTTGTGTTTCATTCTGAAAACAACACTGTACACAAGATGTTGGTTGCATAATAGATTTTTCCAATTAAATCCTGGTTAAAAGGAAGACAGATTACCTATGGAGCTAATAAAAACACAGATGTCTAGGACCTACACCCAACTTAATGCATCTTTTTACTTGATATTCTTGGTATAGTCTTAGGATAATTATGTTTTACATTAAGGTTTTTTTTCCTCTGAAAACCTATATTCATCCATTTTTATAATACCAGAAATAATATTCCCTGGCTTATTTGAAAATAGGCTTAGTCACTGGCTTAGTCATTATCCTTCAAGGTATTCTGTCTAATTGTGAGGGGGATGATTTTATTGTTTTGCACTTCACATTATGCATTATTCTATTATGAGGCTCATTAGGCATTTCACATTTTAAAATTATCAGTAGTAAATTAATCATAGCCATTTCAGTTTCAATCATCTATAGTTTTGTTTTCCTCCAATGCTTAAGGCTTTACTCAGTTTTAGGCCAGGTTTGTGTCTCTGACAAAGAATCTCAAGCACTCCATGGAAAAGCACCACATCCTTTAAACAATTGACAGCTCAAAGAACTGAACCTTGGATATAGATATCTTGTGACACCAGCAGACTGTCAGGATTTGCAAGACTTTGTGAAGAAGCAGACCACTTCATGATACCACCAAACCCAGGTCAAGGGAAAAAAGAATCAGTTATGTTAAGACTACTCTAAGTAGTATTATTATAATGTTCTTTGTTCAATGTATTTTTAATGTTCTATTTTCTGAAAATAAGGAGTTTTCTATTTCAACTATCGATAGCCCACACTGCTTATGTCAAATAAAATGAAACATTTAAAAATGATATTGGAGTCTCACTGAACCCCAGAGTTCAAAAATTCATACCAAGTGTCCCTACTTTTTCTAAAGAGGTTGTTTGTATGCATTCAACAATAATCTTCCTTTTAACCAGGATATAATTGGGAGAATTTATAATACAACCAATATTTTGACTACACAAATTATATTTGAAAATAAAGCTCAATGAATCAGAATTGGCCACTCAAATCCCATCAGAATTCCTATACAGTTTTATGTGCAAAGACTATGCCAATATGTCTCTCTCCTCTAACTTTCCTATGTATAAGCAACAGGCTGGGAATTACATACACCATTACCACCTTATTACAAACTGACATCTGTGTAATTTCTGTAAGGCCAGACTACAGAATGACAAGAAGAGGGTATTCTGAGATGGCTAGTCACTCTGAAGCCCACAATGTCACAGGTGATTCCTGAAATCACTCAGACTTAAGCACCCTTTGGAACCTGTGCCTTCCCAGCGAAACTCTAAAGAGACAGATGGTGGGGTACATTCAGTAGCACTCAGGGCATCAAGCTTATAACAACCCAGTGGTAGTCCAGGCTCTCCTCTGCAATGGGAGTCATACACAGAATAAGATAATCACAATACAGCTTCATGAATGCAGAGGCATTCACACTTCACTGCAAAAATAAGAGGTCACAATGCCAAGGAAGAAGAGAAACAAAATTCACAAGGTACATAACAAAACTGCAAGGTCAAATAAGCTGCCCAGCAAAAGTTGTTCTAACAGGAAGATCACCTGGCACCCGTTGCTAAATAGGATTGGACTTAAAGTTCCTACATAATTAGCATATTCCACTTAAGAGTCTCCTGCATTATTTTTAAAGTTAACATCTTAACAAAAGAGTAAAGCTTACATTTATGGAGCATCCATGTCCTCAAAACTATGTTAAGTGCATTATAAGTATAATCTATATGTTGGCAATATTAACTTCGTAGTAAGATAAAAGCAGATTATATTTAATCTCTTTTAAAAGCATCATAAATTATGAGGAACTTTTGGATTTTTAAAATCACGTTCTTTGCTATAGTCTAGACAACTAGAAAAACAATTATAAAATACCAACTGATAACCAGAATCTGGTTGGAAAGACGCTGCATTCGTTCATTTAAATACTGATTGGCTCCAAAGAACCCAATACCACCAGCACACAGAAACACACACACATACACACCTGAATGTTTATTCAAGGCCACTAAACTGTAGTCTAAGAATACATGGCTCCAGATCAAGCTGGCACTTTTGATTTTGCTGACTAGAATCCCCAAGTTTGGAGCAAGAGCTACACTGTCTTGAATGAAGAAAGGAAAAAGAGGTCTTCCCCTTCCCGGCAAAAGAGAGACCGCTCCTTTCCGTGAAAATCCAATATTTAAGAACGCCGGTTTGAAAGGGCACTAAAGCATTATTAGCCTGTCCAGAATGCACAATTTCTACTCACAAGAGCATCCAAGTGTCTCGGGCTGGCAGTGCCCTCAAACTACCCTCATCTCTGCCAAGGTACCCAGCAAAATGTTAGCCATACCTGACTTTCTCCGTGGGTCCTCCCACTCTCAGTTCTGAAGATGGACTTGGGCTTCCTGGACTTGAAGTTGCCCATGGCGGGTCGCAGTACGCAGTCCACCTGCACCGTCTGCTCTACATGCTGCGGTGCCTCTCCGTGGGGCGGCGCGTGCTCCTCTACAGGAGCCCGGGCGTCTGGGTAATTCTCTTTATTGTCTTCATCCCTACAAGAAGAGAGTCCCAATTAAAAAGCACCAAAAATTGAATAAAGCTGTGGACAAAAGAGACGCTGATGATATACATTCATTGCTGCTATACCAATAGGATTCCTAACAAAATTTTTAGTGCAGGCTCAGGAACTACTTAAGAATTAATTTTATAGGAACAACTTAAGAAATGGAGAATTTCACGCTTTTTAATTTCTCTACTCTCCCTTCCATTCTTCAAGGGGATACATACTTTTTATAGTTGTCACTATGTGCATACCATCATTGGTTTTAAATTTTACACTTTAAGATGCTTTCACATAAATCACATTTTCCTCACAATAATAATATGAAATTTTCAGGGTAGACATTGTAATCCCAAATTTATAGATTAAAATGCAGCAACCAAACAACATGCCTAATGAAAGGGCCAATTTACCCAGACTCACGGTGGTCAGGAAGATCTCAGTTTCTCAAGCCTGTATTCTGGGTTCAAGATGGGATGCCTCCCAAGCTTATAATCATCTCCTTACAATTTTCAGAGGCATTTAAGAGTTTAATGGGACCTACTTTGATAGAATACAAGTCACCTGGATCAAATATAAGGTAAGAGCCTGATTTTACTTAACCAGGCCATCTGAGCAAAGCCCCTAGTGGAAAGTCAAAGATCTTGGTGTTTGGGTTCTGTTAGTCCCAAGTCACTAAAGAACATAGAAGAGGCTGGCATTACCACCATACATACACTTCAGGTGCAAGGAATGGTGCTTGCATTTTTCACTCCACAAATTCAATACAGTGTTCCCCCACCCCTTCAGTTCTAATCTTCTCAGAAATACTGACATGGTAACACTCCTATTTGAAGCCATTGGTCTTACTTAAACCTAAATACATTTTATTTTTCATTTTGCTAAGAATGAAGCAAACAGAATTTCATCAACCTTAACCCTCTGGAAATCACTTAGGCCAGATCATGCAATTCATTAGGAGCAGCCACTTTCCCCAGGTGTTTTTGCTTTATGCTCTCTTATTGGAACCACCCATAAAAGAGTTTTGGTGAGATCTGGGAAGATATTCCTCCTTGCTGAAGGACACATAAAGCCAAGAGGCAAGACCAACAAAGGACGATTTCTATGCTCTCTGCTAAAGACACATTTTCACAAATAAAAGAAAGATTAAATTCACTAAGATAATCTCAGGGGAGAATGAACTTCCATTAGTCTCTGGAAAAGACCAAAGCAAAGATTGGGATAGATAATCAGTAGTAGAGGCCTTGTGCAGTGGGCAAAGGGTAGAAATTAAACAATGTAGAACAGTTAAGCTTAAGTCTCAGGACAAACTTCCTGTTCCCTGATAAAAGAGAACTCAACAAGTGAAATAATTCTTCATTGTCAGTAACTGAAAAAAAAAATCAATGCCAATGACACTGATCTTAAGATAATTCACAATTATTTTTTCCCCAGGATGAGGATACAGCTTAGTGGTAGACAGATTACCTGGCATACAAAAACGCCCTGAAAAAAAAAATCTAAGTCACTAATGAGTTTAGAAATTAATATCAAACCATGAATTGGAAATCATACTAGTTCATTTGAAATGAATTTTTTCCCACAAGGAAATATGGAATAATACTCATCTACTTTATGTTCCTGTGGGAGAAAGAAAAGTTTACAATTAACTTAATGTTCCTGATTCAAGTAGAATTCCGGAACACTCTGGAATAAGAGGGAAAAAAAGGAGTTTTTTCAAATCTAAAATGACTTTGATAGACTCATTCCCCCAAAATGCCTAAAGTTTGTTTTACGTCATATTTCCAAGTTGCCCAATATTTATAAATGTGATTATATGTTAACTTTGAAGGGAAAGAAAGGGGGAAAGGAGCAAAGCATCTTTCACCTATATACACATGTAAGACCTGATTATCAAAGTCATCTCCAGAAATATACCTTTTACATATTATTTATTGGTTCCTTAGGATTCCCAAAACAGAAAAGTACACGTTATGTATTTTATGTCACTACTCATTGGAATAAATCATAACTGACAAGGAACATGGTGTCCAGAAAAGGATACGAGTTTGAAAGATCTTTCCATTTAGTTGTGCAGTCTGGGCTACATCACTTCAGCTCTACAATCCTCATACAATAAAATGGACATCATCTCTACCTCGCAGCATTGTATGATCTCTATAAAATGCCTACCACAGAAAGTTGGCTCCAGGTCACAACCCAATAAATGAAAGCTATTGTGTCTCTTGGGCAGGGCCTTGGCCAAGTGATTATTTGCACACACTCACACACATTCATGTTCTTTTTAGTTTCCTCAATACTTAAAAACTTAATTCCAAACTCCTTAGTAGGGCATGCAAACCCTATGCAATCTGATTTTTGCTTATCTCTAAAGCTTCATTTCTTATCACCCCTTGCATTTTTACCCCCACTTCTCAGGGTTCCTACTACCTGAATTGCTTGTTATTCCCCCAACTCCAATATTCTCTCTGCCTACTGTTGGCTTTCCATTAAGCTGCTCCCTCTGCTTGGTGGCATCAAATTTTTTGTGGCCTTAGAATCACACACACACACACACACAAAAAAAAAAAAAATAGATAGATAGATAGAAAGAAAAAGAAAAAAAAACAGTTTTTTGCCATGTGTAATTTTCTTCAGGAATCTATCCCAGAATACTGTCTGGGCTATTTAGTTCTTGTTATAGTTTGTTTGTATAGCTCCTGTGTTAATATAGGAGGTGAAATGATTAGATTATGAGAGTTGTAATCTAAGGAGGGTATATATTTTGTGACTCCTAGTTTTCTCTCTGCTTTCCGGCTGACATGAGGTGAGCACCTTTCCTCCCCCAGGCCTTTCCACCATGATGTTCTATATGACCTCAGGCTCAGAGCAATAGTCGCCACCATGGACTGAGTCCTCTGAAATCGCGAGTGGAAAATAAACTTTTGCTCCCCTAAATTGTTCTTGTCAGATATTTTTAGTCACAGCAATAAAAAGTTGACTAATACAGTCCTAGGTGAATCCTGTACTTACCTATAATATATTAACACTGCAATACTTCATCTGTGTTCTTGCCTATCTTCTTTAGGCAACCAAATTCTGCTAGAGGAATTAGGATTGGTTTGACTTTATCCCAAATCTTGACTCATTTCTGACATACAAAATAGTCCCTCAACAAATGTTGTTATGCAATAACTGAACTGTAGAATTTGACAGATTTGGGTCCAAATTCTGCCTCAGAGTGTCATGTTATTTGTATGAGCTATAATCCCTCTGAGCCTCAGTTTTACCATCTACTGGATGAAGAAGAAAACATCAGTTTTCTTTCAGTTGTTTATGTTAAATAAGACAATGTTCATGAAAGTACTCAAAACAAAGTAAATGTTGAAGAAATAGCAGACCATAAACATTTTGCTGTTGTACCATGATCCTCCTAATGGCCAAGAACATGCCCCAAATAACATGTTTGGTGAATAGTCTAGAACTTCTTACTAAGAGTGCACCATGGGTTCTGTGAGATGGGCTAATCAATGTTCAATAGGCATTTATTGAGTATTTCCCAAATAGATATAATTGTCCTAAGTACAAGGTGGGTATACAAAAATATACAAGACAAAACTTCCCTTAAGAGCTAAAAATCTAGCCGGGCATATGGTGCATGCTTGTAATCCCAATGGCTTGGAAGGTTGAGGCAGGAGGATTACAAGTTCAAAGCAAGCCTCAGTAACTTAGGGAGGCCCTAAGCAACTTAGTGAGACATTGTCTCAGAACAAAAAATTTTAAAAATGGTTGGGGATATGGCCTCAGTAGTTAAGCACTTGTGGATTCAATCCCCAGTACCAAAACAAATAAAAAGCAAACAAACAAAAACCCTGAAAATCAAGTGTAAGAGATGAAAACAAATAATTTGAGTATAAAGAAGATACCAGAATGCAGAGACACCAGACCTAGATGGTTTCTGATTCTCACAAATAAGAATCAAGCAATCATGGTCCATACCTGAGACTGGAACAGTCAGTCTGATCTTCATGTAAAGAGACTATGTCTTCGTCACACCTAAAGAAAGTGGGGAGAAAAACACGTCAGATCCAACTGTCCACTATGGCAGTAGCAGCAATGATCTAGAATTAGATCAAGATTAACATATAAACTACAAAATTCAACAATCCTCAAAAATCTCTCCCAAACCAACTGAGCCCTAACATGTCATTGGATAATGATGCCTGTGTTGTCACAGTGTCACTACTAGTGTTGTCACAGCATGTAAGCGTAAAAGCTCAGAACCAGCTATGACTTTTCTTTTTGCCTCCATGCTAACAGATATTACCTAAGATAATAAGATCTTACCAAGGACATAGATGTTCATAGCACAAGGACTTCAGGAACCATGATGAGTGGATGGAGGTTAACTCAAAGGAGATTCGATCTCACACCTCTTAGCATTTTCTCTGCATCAAGTAGTCTCAAACCATGCTTGCTCCCATTGGCCTCAGACTTTCTTGATCTTGTGAAAAGCTTTGGCTCTTTCATACTGAAAAATCTCCAGTACTTCATATACTGCCTAGGGAAACTTGGAGTAAGACCATTCCCCGACTCTAGGGTAGGAAGGAGTCTGTGTTCCTATTCTCAGACATTCTCACCTTGCCTCACCCCATCCTGGAATGCGTTTTTCATCTAAAGTTGTTACTCATTCTTCACTGCCCAAGTTAGGACTCACCAGCTCTGAGAACCTTCCCAGCCAAGTTCACACACCTGCCATGTTCTTACTTCAACCTTGACAGTGTTTACTCTTCATTCTCAGGTAACAAACCATTTCTTGCTTCACACTGCTATGTAATCATTTCCAGTTCTGAGATTTAATGGCTTACTCATTCATGAGAAGAAATAACTATAATTTCATTTTCTAGATACACTGATATAGTGCTATTTCAGAGTTGACACTCAAAAACTACTTGAATTAAAACATTATTTCCGTTCCTTCAGCAAGTCTAGTTCCTGAAATGATTTAACAAATATTAATTGAACATTAACTGAGCCCAAGTGCTGAATTAGGCATTGTAACTGTGCTTCTAAAACTTTATGGGGTTCAGGACTGACCAACTTTTTGTTTGTTTGTTTGTTTGTTTTATATAATGCATCCCCTGTGTACAAATACTTTGGTAAGGATGTCACAGCAATGTCAAACTTCTACTAAACTTATTAAATGTTTACTCCCTATTTTCTGTTCTTTTCTTCTCTTATACAAGTTACAGTTTGGATACCAACATTTTGAGAAACATTGCTTCTAAAGGATGCAAAATTTTGAAAAGATTTGGTCCCTGCACTGAAGAATTTGGAGAATAATGAGTAGACAAAAATAAACAGGTAAATGAATACCTATTAAACATATAAAGATGATCATATTTATAGTACTTGTACTATATTAAATAGGTTTTAATTTTTAAATAGTCTTAACTTGCAATGGTATATAAATAACCCACAAAATGAGTTAATAAAAGTTTCAGTTAGCTTTCCTTATAATCTTTTTAAATTATGGCTTTTGTAGTGAGTTAAATAAACAAAGCCACCTACAGACTCTAACCCTCTTTACCTGCTGAAATAGTTTGTTCCCTCTATAAAAAAACAAAAAACAAAACCTAAACACTCCTTTTAACCAAATGATCTAAATTGTCTTGCTTTCTCCAGGCTTTGACCACCAATAATCCATTCTGTCCATCTCACAGAAAACAATATTATATTCACAAGTATTGTTTTGTTCTACTCCATTAGCAGCAATCACCTACCAGATCAACTGTGCTTTATAATGTGAATAATAATGTTTTCCAATAGCAAAGTAGCAAAATCTATGAAGAATAGGCATCTAGAATTGCTGCCTCTAAGACTCAATCTGAGATTAACCCTGGAGCTCAACAATACCAATTGTTTGGGGATTTGGCAACAACTTATTTTTCCCTCATTTGATTTATTAATCTTTCTCCTCAAATATAATCAGTTAAAAATGGAAACTGAGCACCAGAACATACAAAATTGCAGAAGCTTTCTGAAACATGAGTCTGGACCAAATTAGTGGATCCAAGTTTAATACAGAGTGAATAACTCCATTTGCCATTCAAAGAAACACAACTCTAAGACTATAGTTTAGCAATTGATGTAGACCTCCCTACCAGCATACAGAGCACAGGTACACAAACCCTTTGAGTTCTATGGAGTTTCTGGTTACTTTAATAAAGACCATCTGCTTCCATTAATTTAGCAACTCCTTTCTATTCTTGCTCAGGGGTACATTGCAAATGTATAGTCCATTTATAAAATCATATTCCACAGTGGGAACCAATACCCACATATCCTCGTTCCTGGAAAAAAATAAACTCAAACCAAGAGATCAACTGATTTTGGGCATGGCATTCTCTTCCTACCTTACAGCCCTACACAGGAATTTTAAGCCCAATCCTTTGCACGATCTTTCTCAGATATTCAATATGTAATATATTGTAATGAAATGTTTTTCAAATTGTATGTTGTGACCTGTTAGTGAATTGTAAAATTACACAGCAGCTACCAGCACTTTTTTTTGTTTGGGTTGTAAGATGCAGTAGAAAATGTTAGTACAGTGTTAATTATTAACTCGCTGAACTTATTTAAGTTACACATATGTGCATTGGATTGACATATAGAATGTTTTTCTTAGGGTTGTTCATAGTAAAAAAAAAATGTGAGTCAGGTTTAGTGATGCCTGCCTGTAATCCTAGTGATTCAGGGTACTAAGGAGGATGATCCCACATTCGAGGTCAGCCTAGGCAACTTGGTGAGACCTTGTCTCAAAATAAAAATAAAAAGAATTGGAGATGTAGCTCAGTGGTAAATGTACATGGTGATTCACATCTTACCTGCGTTTTTATACTATCTCAATTCAACCTGACCATGCTACAAGGTAGAAATTACCATCACTCACAGGGTTTTATTGCCTAGGATTCCAAGGCCTAGAACAGTGGAGCCAGGGTTGTTTATTCTCTACCCACACAAAGTCCACAAGGCAGGAGTCAAAACGCCTCCTTAGTCTGTATTCCCAGAGACTCATGAGAGAGGGAGAAGGACATTTCTTAGAATAATGTAGTGAAAGAAGTATCCATGAAAAGTACTTTTTTCTGACTAAATAGGAAGAAAAGAGTGGCTGGTAGATGAAATGTAGTTGGGTTAGAAAGGGATTTCCATTCACCCTATAGTACCATGTGCCCCAACAAAACAGCTGACACCAGCTTCCCCTGCCCCACCATCTCTACTCCACTACAACTCTCTTAAGAATGGGCCTAGAAATGCAGAATTTAAGCCAGATTACCCATCTGCTTAACTAGTAAGCTTCTAAAAAGTTATCACCTAAAGATTTCCAAAATCCAGACCAGCACTGAGCTGATTCCAACACAACCACCCACTCATTCTGAGTTCCCTGTGGAGATAAAGCCTGGGAGTCTATATTGTCTATAAACTCCAATCTTGTTTCCCAGTATATAGTGATGATCAGTAGGTTTTGAGAATCAATGCTTTGAATGATAACCAGTCAGAATAATTGCAAGCCAGGCCAGGCTTCATTTCAAATACATAGTTAGCCAGGACAACATAGGAAATTGACCATGGAAAAATAATAGACAGAAAGATGCTGCAGATACAGAAGAAAAGGCCAAGGCCATTCTGATATTAAAAGAAGCTGGACAGAAAAAGAAATTGAAATTGGTTCAGAGCCACATAGACAATGCTAGGACTAGGAAAAAACAAGAAGAGAAAAAAATCTGTCCTTGTGTCCTTCCCAATTCCGCTTCTGTTTGACTTTAATGAGATCTCCAACTGGCCAAGTGGAACCCTTTCAGAATATCTGATAAAATAACTCATATTAAAATTTTAATGACAACTTGAATCCACCTTCCAGGAGCATAGACTTATATTTCCATTCACGACTAGAATCCTTAATCTCAAAGAAATCATCTCCAGGTACAATTTCAGGGGGTTTGAGTAAGAAGAAAGTAGGAACAGAATGGGGACAGGAGGAAGAGCAACTTTTCTTGTCTCTGAAACATATAAGGGAGGAAAGTGCCTCCCCAATGCAAGATCTCAAGGGAACATTCACTGAGCACCTGCTATGTCTGTGTCTCAGGATAGTGCCTCCTAGTCCTTCTGGCTAAGGGAGCATTCCCAGAGAAAGAAGGAACATGGTTCAGATTATTGAGGCAGGTGGCAGGAGTTATGTTGGACAATGACTAGTTTTAAATGACCCTAGTCTGTGCTGTGTTATACCTATGAAGCTTTTGGTATGTTTCCAAATATGTTTCTTAGATTCTTATATTAGCCAGATGGCTTCCCAATTATCACTCAGAGCCTTTTAAAATAAATCATTCTCACTTCTCTGAAAGTAACAACATGATCTTATGCAATCAGTACTCCTTGGGGAGTACCCAAAGACAAGGCACCACACTCTCTCCAGCATTTAACCATAGAACCTTTACCAAAATTTAGAAGAAGAAGAAGAAGAAGAAAAAAGCATGTGAAATATGGAACTAAGAGTTTCCATTTTGAAGTTGTTAGGCCTGTGACTGTTTCCAGGGATTTAATCACACAGACTTCCTGAGAATCAGGTTCTGAAAAGCTCTTGGTGCTTAGAAGCACAGCAAAGGGAGGAGAGCAGTACCTGTGCACCTGAACCAGAATGTCAAGAGCTCATCTTCACCCTGCAACTTTTGTCATACATCTCTCCTTTTATCTATGCTTTTAGAAAAGTAAAGTGGAGCACAGGTTACTAAGAAATCTCATTAACAGGAGCATCTTCTAAAGTCAACCCTGACTTCTTTTTTCCCCCTAAAGTGACTACTTAAGTGAGCTCAAAGCTGGACACTAAGAGAATCGCAATCCAAATACAGAGAAATTATGTAGTAGTAGTAGTAATAGTAGTAGTAGTAGTAGTAGTAATAATAATAATAATAATAATAATAATAATGGAAATAGAGGGCATAGGAAGTACTGTAGAATCTTACCTCTCTATCACCAAGTCACTGTGATAGTGGTGGGACCTGAAACTCAAATGATGTTCATTTCTACATTTATTTGCTTTTTTGAAAACTTCGGTAAACATCACCCAAGTTAAGTGGGGTTTCTGTGTCAAACTTCTAAAATATTTTTAAATGACATTTAAGAATACAACTTTATGCTTGTCTTGTTCCTAAAAAGCTGTTAGGAGCCACTTCTAACAAAAGGTCCCAGAAGTTAACAACATAAATTAGCCTAGAGAAATATTGCAAAATGATGTGCATATATATAGTTTGTACACATATGTCTATATAAATTACATACAGTATTAGCAAAATAAGCTACCTATTAATTTTTTACATGTAGAGTATAATATTGGGCAAACATTAAGGAAGGGATGACAAGACTTAAAATGATTAACTATAAATATCTAATAAAAAAAATACTGTGCCTGCTGGACTTGAGTAAAACACTGTACTCCTTCGTCCCATGTTTAAATAGTGTTAGTTGCCCTAGTCAACAGCTTTCACTGTAGGACCAGATAACTCATTTCTCCTATAGCCACATCTCTGAGGTCAGAAGACAAAAACGACAAAGAGCATGCAAGAAAAGTTTACTCCACTGTGTCTTAAAAATCTGTAGACAGGAGAGAACAAGGGTAAGTTTAGTTTGTTTATCCCATGCTGGAAATTAAACTCAAAGTCATTTCGCATCCATCTCCTATTTGTGGTACATGTACACAGCTTGTACTGCATGAAACTGACACTAATGTTGGCAAAATACAACCAAGCTCCCTTTCTGACATGTCAGATAGATTTTTTAAAAATTCGAGCTCCAAGAACTCATCTTGGAGCATGGAGCTTCTGCAAGCAACCAGCTGGTTTTAATATCTCTCTGCAGCTGCTAAAATGCTGACTTCAACCTGTAAAGATTTCTGGGCCCCATCGGTCAGCATGTCTGGCGATCTTCGCAGTCCCAGATTACAGGAGACAATGCATCTAATACGAAGAGGGGTAGGGGACGGTGAATACCTTCATGATAGTTGCTTCCAGAGAAAGGCATGCAAGTCTAATTTTTAATGGTAAGAATCACTTACTCTGTTACAGCGGTGCTGCTGAAGGAATTATCCTGAAGGCTGAAACAGAAACAAGAAAACATGAGCCAAGTCCGGCGGGGGAGCCGTCTCCCTGATTGCTCTCCGGGAGTTAGAGCACATACACAAACATGGCATTGCAAGGCAAGTCTCAGGGCTTGCCCGGCACGCTCGCTCTACCTTGGGCTGCTGTCTGCACATGCTCGTAACGACACCCCCAGCAGGGGCCCAGCCGCACGAGCGAACCACAAAGCCTGGCAGCCGGCGAGGCTGCGGGGACAGAGCCGGGCGGGGCGCGCCGGTGGCCCAGACCCCAAGATCCAGCAAAGAGCACCTGGAGAGTTACCCCCACGACCCCAACCTAGCCAGGCTCGGCGCCTCGTTGAATTCACTGCTTTCCAGACCCACCAATCGGGGGGCTGTCAGTCGACTGCCCCACTGTTTGTGCCTAGGTGCTGAAATACCCGGGAGACTCGCTTTCTTCCAGACGTCTCCTACCAGTTTTACTGAGCTACCTCCCCCACCCCCACCCCACCCTCCAGGGATGGAGGCTTGCAAAGATTCACCCATCGTTCAGAAAAAGCCGGGAGGGAACGGGAAGGGGGAGAGAGACACTGCTGGCAGGTTTTGTTTTATTTTTATTACGAGTTGATTTTTTATTGCCTAGGAAAAAGAAGAGCCTAGGAAGGAGAGCTCCCAGCATCACGCCCGAGCTGTCTGTGCTCTGTTATTTCAGTCCCAAAGAGGAAGCGCCCAGCCCTGGACGACGAAGCTGTGAATGAGCCCACGCAGGGCGAGTGGCGAATTTATTCCAGGCATTAGCTAGTGACTAGGACACGGTGCAAGGGGTGGGGCTTGCTGTGCCTGCATAAGCTCCTCGGCCTGGCACCTATACAAAAGGCTGGAGATACCGATTCCACAAAGGCTGTTCCCTTGAATAAAAGCAACCCTGTTGGGGGAAGGGAAGACAGTTCCCACTTGCTTCAGCCCATGGGGGTATTTGTTCTGCCTTCTTTCCATTGTTCATGTCTCCTCCCATGTTGACCTTGATATGGAATGAAACACTCACACGTGATAGATGCTTATTTGAATTTTAAAATAAAAAGATCCTCATCCCTCTTTTTTATTATCTTCACTACTGAAAGCAGTTGAGATGGTGATTTTTAGTCCAAATATCCAACCTAATGAGTTCAATTACAATAGCAACAAGAAAAACTCAGATTTAAACATTTTTTTTTTTAATTAGGAAAAATTACCCAAAACTTGGAAATAAGGAACATGACTTCCATTGTTACACCAAGACATTGTTTAACAAGTCCAGCCTGGGACTAGTTGATTCTCTAGGAAAACACTTGTTTTTGACTTTGCAACTAGTTACTAATTATATCCCAGGTGAAGTCACATGTTAACTTGCACATTTTGTTGAGCCTATCCACCAAAAAAAAAAAAAAAAAAAGATAATGTCAACGTTTAATGTTTTATTGCACTGCAGGATTTAAGCAATTTTGCATCTAACTAAACTAACATTCATTATAAATGCCTACAAATATTCAGATCCTCAAAATGGTTTTGGAAGCAGCTTCACCATACTAGGGCTTTCCTCATTGATATATGAGTAGATCTCTGGTGCATGCCTATATTTTTGTAAGAGTCTGTTTGTAACTTTTAAAAGTTTATACTTTGAAAAAAATCAAAATTAATTTTTTAAAGAAAATCAGGTTTAAATAGTTTTTTTGCAATCTTCCTTTTCTCCAAATATTCTTTAAATCGATTGCATAAAAGCCTAGTGTGTTTTTTTTTAACTTGAATTCTACGGATTAAATTAGAATACATTCCCCTGAATGTATAAGTATATTGTGCATATTTGTTCTTAAACTACCTACAGTGGTTTACTTAGATGAGCTAGGTTCAAGAGTGACAGATACAGTCTCTTCACTGAATTCATCACAAATTGAGGTCTGTTCTACTTATTGAAACTGATGAATGTAAGTCTTATTCCAGCCTTCTTGTTTCCACAGATTCAAGAAGTTGTCAGTTTCCAGAAAGCCCTTTTACTCATTAGCTGTCATACTGCTTCCAGCTGTTCCTGTATGAAGAAGGAGCATACTTTTCTCATGTAAAGGATCCTCGTAATCCATTTGGGATGGAAAAGTGTAATGCTTTGAACTTTGAACCAGGACTTGGACAAGTATATAAAATAATGGAGACATTTTGGAAATGAAATGAAATAACAAATGTATTCCATAAAGTCAAGTGTTAAATAAAGACCACAAAAAAGAAATGAGAATTCTCAGAAATTCATGAATAGAAGGAACCAAAATTAAGTTTTAAGTACTACTCATATACGATGAAAACAATTGGTTGGTATAGTATATTATGGTTAAAAACTAAAAGTGTCCCAGAATATCCTGTCATTTGGCAGTTTGTAAGAAACCATTTTAATTTCTACTACTCACCCAATTCTTATATTTGGTTTTATCTTAAGTCAGTTTTAAAACTGTCTTTATAATGTCTTTTCAAATGCATTAAAAAAAAGATTTGTACTACTCAACATAGGACAGTACTAATGAATATCACACAGCATATGGTTATTTTTGAGACCCTTCGCTTATCTAAATAGCAGTTTGGAGTGTTCAAAAGGAGAAGCAGAAAAATTAATACAGAAATTTGTGAAGAAGTAAGTTCTGGACTAGTATTTCCCAAAGTGGCAATGGCATTCTAGTCTCCCAAATGGTTCAGGTTTTTTTGTTTTTTTTTTTTTTTTAAGTTACATGGTCAAAAATAAGTTTTTGAAAGGAGACATGTTATAAATTCACAAAGGAGACTTGGCAGAAAAGAAAAGCATTTCATCTATTTTAAACCGGTGCTTCTCAAATTCATTGAAAAGTAAAATAATATTTTGCTTAAACATACCAGTTAACATCATATATAACTGAGAACTTTGAGAAAACAGTTCCTGCATATAGCAGGGGGGAAAAATTAATGAATAACAAACGATGCTATATGTTTATCTCTATTCCATAGTAATGAACAAGACAGACATAGTCCCTGTTATTATAAAGTTTCGAGTGTAGATATATATCATATACATGTATATATGTGTAAAATACATAGTATAGGTATTACATGTACAAACTTATTTTAGACAAGATAAGTGAATACAGGAAAAATAGAGATGCCAGTTTTGAATACGATTAACTCACATGCCAAAATTTTCGACGTTTTAATTTTTCTGTCAGTGCTCATAAAACTGACATCTAGCCAGGTGTGGTGACACACACCTATAATCCCAGCAGCTTGAGAGGCTGAGGCAGGAGGATTACAAGTTCAAAGTCAGCCTTGGCAAATTAGTGAGACTGTCTCAAAGTAAAAAAATAAAATAAAAAGGGCTGAAGACGTGGCTCAGTCATTAAGTGTCCCTGAGTTCAATTCTGGTACAAAAACAACAACAAAAACCCAAACAAACAAAACCCATAACTGAATTTCAGATTTAATAGAAATAGTTTATTATAATTGGAAAATTTTAAATTTCTGTGTATTAACCTAGCCATATGCAAAATGTATAACAATAGGCTAGTGATCAAAAAAGAAATTCCAAAGTTGCTGGAGCTCTAAACACTAGCAACTTGAGTTGAGTACAACAGGAGCTTAAATTTGAAAACCACTATGTGCCTCAATCTTCTGATCTGTAAAACAGAGATGATAATTGCCTACTTGTAGGTTCTTACAAAGCTTATGGCATTCTTGGAAATGAAAAAAATAACAGCTGATTAATACTAGCTTCATCATCATTATTCTCATTGTCATTAGTACAACAAATAGTATATAAACAAAGTTTGAGAAGATGAAAAAACCTGTTGTACTTCGGTAGTAGACTTATAGATGCTATTTTCTTTTTATTTCCTGTGATGTCACAGTCCTTACATAGCTTTTTTTTTTCTTTTTTTTTTTAATTTTTAAGAGTCATAAAACTTAAAACTTTATTAAATGAGCTTACTCAGAATGGCTTTATGCTCACTTTATGACTCTTCAATTTAAAATACTTGCACATCCCTGGAGGAACAGACAATTCTGAGAAATCACTTTCTGCAAGATGCTGGGGCAAGGAGCCAGAACCTTCACAATGACAGGAAGTCAACAGAGGCCTGCTCTATTGGCCTGGACATAGTGACTTGTAGCTTCCTGCCAGTACCCTCGGGAATGACCAGGCCTCCCTGTGAAAAAGAGGACTCTTGCCTGAAACAATAATTTTCCATTTAAAAAAAAATCGAAACTCTCCTTGACTCCCTGTCCACTAATATTTTCCTCTGCCAACCCCAATACCTGACACCCTAACAAAAGGGGCCTCATTATCTGAGTAGTCAATATTTGAACTCTTGAGAAGTCAAAGGTGCCCACCGAAGCAAAGTCTTGATACCAACACACACACACACACACACACACACACACATACTGGAAACAGACTGTTTATTTTGTTGGTCTTCATTCAAACATTCTTCCCTAATTAATGCTAGCTAGTGTATGTCAAGTCCACCTTTTTGTCTGCCAATCTCTCTCTGACTCATCTGAAAATAAAATGTAGATACCATGTAAATTGATTACTAAGTGAAATTTCAATTTTTACAAAGATTTGGAACCACATGAAGTCATTGAAAATGATATTTGTGAACAGCTTGAATCACATTCAAAACTAATTACAAGGAAGGTTTTGGTGGTAGCAACCAAAGAGTAAAAAAAATTGACAAAGCTGGTGACATATCAATTCAGAAAGGGATGCATCAAATATAAAAGAATGAAGAGTGGTCTTTGGAAAAATTTATGAAACGCTTAATTAATTTTGCAAATGTTACCTTTTTACAGTTATGCAATGGTTATCACAGGTCAGGTGAAGTTTATCATTTTGAGTTATTAATTTTTTCTAAAAAATTATTTATAACTCCAGTAATGGACAAGATTTA